TTAGGTAGGTGGATTATGATAGAGCAGTAAAATACCCAAGCTTATAATGCTATTCGTGTTTTGTTTTTTACCTTGACGTGCCAATTAAGCATACTGAATGGAATCCAATTGTTCCTCAATGGCAACTTTCAGCGGTGTCCTCATCAGCCGCCTCCGAATGGCTGAAGGTTTCTTTCCGAGGTGCTTTATGTCATGTCAGAAATACACTCGGAGGCGTTGACTTCCCCTGCCGAGGTGCGACCGCAATTAGAAAATTTAACTACATTTGTTATTTAAATTAATTTTCTATAACTCTCACATTTCACATTTTCAGCCGCCTATCTTGCGTTTTCGCCCTTAAAAAAAGGTGATTTTTGGGAATTTTTAATAAAAAAATACTTTACCAATTATTTCTAAATTTTAAGAATATATTTATTCATGTTTCAAGAATATACAGTGAAATTTTTGAAGAAAAGTTATAGTCGATCTCCAATCTTGTCTGTACAACCACCTACGATAAAAAAATCAAAAATTGACAATATGGGGGGGTTTAAAAAAAAAAATTGTGGAATTTTATCCAAAGTTTTGGTCGTTTTTGGGCTGCCAAAATTCGATTTGATCAGATCAAAAATCGATAGATCATTGTACGTAGAACATGTAAAAAAATTTGATAGTGATCGGATCGGAAAATGTTGTTTCGAGAAAAACTTGTTTAAAGATAACATGATCGTTTTCACTCGTAGCTAATGAGACTCTCTAGCTGCTGAGCGGCTGCTCTTTAAATTGCTATAACTCAAAAACTATTTGAGATATCGCGTTAATATGTTATTTTTAAAGGTGTAATCTACCGAATTATGAAAAAAGACCGATTTTTTTGAAATTTCACACTAGGTGTGCCCCTTAACAAAGAAAAACTGTAAAATATAGCGTATTTTCTTTTTGCTGGAATCATCTTTGACGCACGCTCATCAAACAAAACTGAATCAACCAATTACGAAATGTCATCTCTCTAACGAACCCGATCGCATACAACGCGAGATACAAATATAATATATAATGCCATCTATTGGAAAAATAGTGAATTTCTTGTTACCACACCAATATAATTATATATATATATATTATATTATAAGAAATGATATTACGAGTATAAGAGAGTAGAGTGTGACTTTGATATGTAGAAAGAGAACTCTTCAAATACCTATTTAGCCCAAGATATAATCTGTTGCCAAAAGTGGTTAAAATTTGTCTTAAATTTGGTCCGAAGTTTGTTACGTTTCCTACTAGTTCTATTTGTCCGACTTCTTTGCTCAACCTGAAGAATGTAGAACTATCGACGGAGTAATTGAGGTATTATTTCATAGATGGCGCATTTACCAGGCTTTAAATTAAACTAAGGGCCAACCACGGTTGTTAGGTCCGCTTTTTTACAAATAGATTGATGAGGTGTATTTAATAGGTCGTATAAGTAAGTCGTCTAAAAAGTTGTGTGCAACTAAAATTAACAAACAAAACAAATTTTATTTATATTCATTTTCGAACAAAGCAATCATACTATCTGTTTTCCATCTTTTTTGGGAAACCAATAATACAATTATCTAGATACATAAGAGGTTTTGTCTCGAACGACTTACGAATCGACTCACAGCCTAAGCCATTGATCGTAACGAGTGTTCTGCGCAAGAAGTAGGCTTTCGATAAGAAGTGTACCTGAGACCGATCTTTTCGGAGAGTTTATTTAAAAATCGTTCGACTTAGATGAATTTTGATATATAGGCAGCTTTTTCCCTAAATTAGCTGGGCTCACCGGAGAGTTGACCAGGGACCGATTTTTCCGAATTAATGGCTCAATTTGCTTGATATTTGGAACATATGTAAATACGTAGATACTTCTACATTAATGTGAGGAGAAGTTTCCTTTTCGTACCTCTTTTTTATAAAAAATTGGGTTTTTTTTGATTTTCATGAAATTTTGAACATACGAGTGGATTGCTCTTGTCTTTCAAATTGAAAGAATTGTTTCTAACCTTCGATTTAGTTGAAGAATTTATATATTACAAGTATTCAAACTTTTTAACATAATAATTAAAAAACAAGACAGTCTTATTCGAACCTTCTTAAACGAAGTTGCGAGCAAACTCTACATACAAACTCTGCATAGTACACAATAATTGGCGATTTGTAACCGCTGAAACTTTTTTTTGGCGAGTTCATCCTTCAATTTGTGATGGGCGTCTTAATGTCAACTCGCCGAATGATGGCTTTGTGGATATGTACCCTGATCAATCAAATATATTGACCAAAGTGGCTTTCATAACATTCGCGCGATCCGTATTGATTGAAATAAAACTTTGGTGTACAAATAAATTAATCCGTGTGCTTAGAAAAAGGACGCGAAATGTATGAAAATAAAACTTCACTTAATTTGTATAAAAAAATTCATCCAAACATACATATTTGTTTGCCTATTATAACATTTTGTAATCGTAAAAACGAGATTTCTTCATTAAATTCATTTAATTTCTTAGCTCAGTCTATTCAGCAGAAGAGAAGGTGCGCAACGGGATATAAAAAACTCGAACGCATTTCACCAGACAGAGCAACGACGCTGGAAAGGTTTCCACAAAATAGAATGTTTGCTGCCAACCGACAAACTTGGCTTTACTGCGTCCACTCGTGCACTACTACATCACAACATCATCTCACATCATCTCCTACAATACGCTTGTTGCAATATGAATGGAAGGTATTACAGAACTTTTCTAGCGGTACTGCTGCAGAGTTGTAAGTCGCGCAGTGGCTTGCATTCCGTAGGCACCACGAAGAGGATAATATTGAGGTTTATTTACATAATGAATGTGTGTATGTATGTATGTATGCGTGTGTATACATGCACATACATACATATGTATGTACGTAGTTAAGACGATAGCGGGTCAGTAACTTGACGAAGGGAACTTTTAGTTAACGATGGTTTACACCTTTCACAACCTTCATTTCGTATAGGCAGTGCACTATTGCATATATGTATATATGTATATATGTATATTTAGCAAATATGTATGTATGTGCATAGTACCATTTCAGGTGACCATTGCCCCTTCCTGTCAGAAGGGGTACAACTTCAAGTCCTTGGTGCAAATGTTGAGTTTGGTTATAAGTCAACTTGTAGGAATTCTACTTTGCACATTAATTAATTAAAAATAGAGAAAAAACGTGCAAAACGAAATTCTTTATAAATGTTTGTAAGTGTGTAGGTAAATATATGGAGACTAAAATGAATTAAGGGAATGGTTTATGGAAGAAAAGAATAATCAAAAGAGAGAAAATCGGGCGGAGAGAGAGAGAGAGAGAGAGGCAGAGGGGATAAAAAAATGAAAAGTTTGGAATTAGTCGAGAGTGGGATTGGTGTGGAAAGATTGTGCTGGGCATGAGATTTACTTAGGTCGAGCTGCTGTCCACCGGATGCAACGAAACGTTGCGAAGACATTTCAAAGGGTGCGTTCGTCAAGATTGGGGGTAAAATGAAAGAATAAAAGACGAAAATACCAGCGTGAAGACTGGTGTGGAGGCGTAAGAGTGATGTAAAGGCCTACGTACATACATATATACATAGCGACTTTGGTGCATCTGTATGGTGGGTAGTTGTGTCGTGCAGTAGCAGAGTGGCGAACTGCACCCGGCTGCGTTGTATTGTGGAAGCACACACATATATATGCATACGTATGAACTTTTGTGTACGTATATATTTTGATACGTATACGCCCGCACGTCGATTTGTAACTTCCAACACTAAAGCAAGCTGAGGCGGATGTGATTTCAGTCAGCTAGCACTGAATGATTAAGCCTGCGCTGGGCAGTACTTGAGAGTTGAAGACAGATGCTGTTGATGCTGCTTTTAGGCATGAAGTGCATTGAATGTAATAAAATAGGCAGCAAACAAAACGAGAAAATAAATAAAGCAGTAATAGAGGAAACGAAGGAAATGAGGAAATGGTATTGCAGCAATGGAGTAATGGAAGTGAAGTAACGGATTGGTAGGCCAAACTCGAAAGGGAACTGCTCTGCACTGACATAACTGCCTACGGCTGCTGTCCGCTATTTTGCCTGCTCTTACATTTCTGCGTACACCCCAAGTGTATTTCGCGTATCACCAATATTTATTTTGGCGTTTAAATGTGGTCCCCAAATGGCCGTAATGACGCAATATGTCAGCTACGCCATATCAATGTGTAGCAGATGCGATTATACACTGCAAAACGATTGCCTCTAAATATTTTAAATATTTCACAACTATACCTTGAGGTAAGTGCTTGACTTAAAACGGAATTTGATAAAAGTTTCGCCGAAGCCGCAAATGACGAACAACTACGCCTAGCTCCCATACAAAGGACTTGCTACTTCCGTCCCTTTGGCTGAATCTGTATCGTATACTTATTTAAAACATTAACAACAAAGCTAGACCAGCCTGGGGGTCTTTCACTAATAAGGCTCAGATAATGCGATGCGCAATTACGCCAAATCCTCAAAACTTCTTACTTCCACTTCATATTAACTGGTGCAGGCACTGCTTTTGCAATTGTAGACAAATCGATGACAGTGCGTCCTTTGTATACATCAAGTTAAGCCAAGTCGCTTCCAGAGTTGTGGATGCATCATGGAATATTTCAAATGTTGGGGTCCTCTCATCCATCCTGAGTTAACTCGTCCCGTTGCCAAAGAGCAAAGTTCTACAAATCTGTCTCTCAAAAACACCTGATACCAGCACATCGACGACTCTTCTGAACCATATACGGAGTTTTGCCTTGTTGAGGCCAATGATTTGAATATCACAAAATTCGTTCTTTCTTAAGGATCTTTAAAAAGCACCACTGTTAGGAAGAGGCCCAAAACTATAGGTCACTCCGTTGTAAGGTTTGCGTCAAAAGGCACACTAGTCGCAGAACAAGTTTCGCCGAAAATCGTTTTTTTCGTTTCATATTGCGCCAATGGTTTTTAATGGCTCATATTTCAACAACTGCTTTACTTCTATTCTAAAATTTTCATAGATTTTTTATTTAATATTATTCGTTATATTGCACCATTAATCTGATATTGAAAGTACATCGAACGCCACACCGCCAATCCACGGACTGTTGGCATCACCCATTTCAATATTTTTCGCAAACATTTTACAATTAATGTTGATTGGAACATTCTGGGTTATATTTTCGATTCTAATTACTACAATGCGCCCATAGTCGCTTTCAATGTTGCGTTTCGTTCCATTAGTGAGGATTCGATTAACGGGTATGGATCGCGAGTTGGGAATGTGATCAATTTGTTTCCAAGAATTTGATTTACATGAAATCCATAAACGGCCCTTTCTGCTATTTGAAGGTAAACCGTAGATTACTTTCTTCAGCGCACGCTCACGTCTATGCAAATCATTTGCATCCTCAATGGGATCAACGTAGAAACCAGATATAAGGTTGACTTGTAAAAATATACACGGATTTTCCGTTTTATAGCCATAATGATCACTTTCTTTGCATTCTTCGAAATCTCGCCGTTTACCAAACTTCTTTAATAAACTGTTTATTTTTGAGACAATCAAATTGATGTCCTTCTCATTGTGTCCATTCCACGATATACGATTAACATAATACGATTCAAGGTCGGGGTAGTAAACTAAAGATGGCTGAAGTCTCTTAACTCTTGGACCATCGATTGGTAATGTTAATTTATAAACCGAATAGCAAGTATAAAATAATAAAGCTATACCCATATAAAGAAGTATATAAAATATCACTACTTTCACTAGATGCGCTATTTTTTCCTTAGTGCTTTCGGGCGGTGTGCTTCTTCTTCTTTCGTTCTTGCGTTTAGTCTGTGGGCTCTCTTGAAAAGTTGGTCTTCTTATCTTCTTAGCGATCCGGGGAGGAGTTTCCACCAAAGCTTTCGAATTTTCAACATCTTCATGTCGAAAACGTTTAACGAGAACATATTTGCCCGATGTCTCAAACATGTTTTCTTATTTAAAAAAAAAAAATTTGTCAAAAATCTTGATAGTTTACCTTGAGGTAAAACGAGTTTTTCATTTACATGCAAAACAAATAAAGTGGAGATAAGCCAATGCAAGTTCGCACAAGTTAATAGCGCAATACAAAAACGAAAACTCCAGACATTTTTGTTATAAGCTCTTAGTGGTTTGTTTGTATGAATAGAATATTTTTGTTATACTTAAAGAAAAAATGGTAGAAGTAACAGCTGTTTCGGAGATCACAACAACTCCTCATCAGACTTCTTATTGCAGGAATCGAGCCCATGAATCCTGACTTAACAGGCGTGTGCTCTATCGCTGAGCTATTTGTTGATGAAATCTTACAATCACGCGTAAGACAATCTGCTTTCTCTCCACTACAGTTCGACACTCCTCACCGTACCAGCTCCTTTCTTACAATTGTTTCCATAGCGGCGGTAAGTAGGGAGTTTGAGATCCTTTATAACGAGCTCCTCATGAGTTCTCTCAGAAACCATGTTTGCAAGTCAAGTAGAAAACTCTTCAGCTGTTTGTTGTAAACTCAGCTTTTCGACTTTCCTTGTGTTAGTTGATCTTAGTAGATGTCTTAACACAACCATATTTCGAGCTCCAGCGAAGTCAATTATCCTCAGGCCTTTTGAGGATGTTTCGTAATGGTGGCTGAATTTCCCAACTGTTGTACCAAAATTATCTTCTTTGCCCGCCTTGGCGTTGAATTTAGCCAAGCTCAACTTTCACATCGTGGCCGGGGCAGAGCACACTCCTTCGCTTCTGTCGGAGAGTTGGCGCGAATCATCGGTACGTGAAATATGTCACCTTAATGCGAATTGTGGTTAGCCGTTCATCCACCGTAGGGAACGCAAGTGTATCCCTCTCACCACAAAACTAGTACCAAATTTGTGTTTCCATATATGGGCACTGTAGTAAAATTCATGAGGATTCACCTACCTTCGGACAGTGGTGATGTCAGCCTTTAATCTTACTTGAACATCAACCAGCTGGACAGCGTCACGATCCTAATTAAGGGAGCAGGCTTAGTTTGATTATTCATTTGAGTTTACTTTTCCTGTGGTGGGCTCCAAATCCTACGCTTAAACGCAGGGGAATTCGACTTCTTATTTTAACTTTCTTCTAATTGGATGTGTTTTGGCTACCCAGAGGACATTTAGTCTACGACCGGAAATCACGATTTGCTTGAATCATTTACTACTACACATAGCCCTTTTTTCTCAGACTAAGAGAATAGCGCTATTAAAAATAAAAGGGAATTGGCAGTGAAATGCCTCAGTAAGTTTTTAATGTTTGCGGTATACGGGTTCCTTTAGTTGTTGTTTTAATTTGATATAGCTTTACCTTTAAGGAGCTCATTTTTTCTTGGATAGTCCGCTGTCTGAAATTTTGAAAAGTGTTCCTATTGTAGCAGTAGGAGTATATTACTACTTGAGCTAGCTTAATTTTTTATTTTTATTTTTTTTTTGGTGTTTTATATATATTTATTAAACGCAAGAAAAGGATTTATAGTAAAAGGTTTATAAATTGCGAGATAGCACTTTCAATAATTACAATTGCTTGACGAACTACATGTTGGTGGTAATAAGCCGGCGAGAAGTGCATAATGTTGCAATGTTGGAAATAAATTAAAAGCCGACTTCGAAACCCTAGGCTGGCAGAGTATGATGAGCGGCAAATGGAGGCATTTGAATTGGGCGCATACTTATGTACATACACACACATGAACATTCGAGGATCATCGGCAACCAAGTTGTAAACGCACAGCCATCGCTGTTTGCCAAACTTATCACAAATCCACTACAACTCACATGCCACTTGGCAGAGCGCGCATAATGCGCTCTTATTACCAAAGATTAGAAAAAATGCAACGAAAAAATGCACAAAAAAAGATTTGAAAAGTCGCGAAACTTGTGAAAATAATGCCTAACATGCGGAAATGTTTGTAAGTTCTGCGTTGTATTGCTCGTCACTTCAACAGCGAGCTCATTGCTCCAACTGTACTTGTGCCCGTGGAGAGGAGGCTGGCGAAGATGAGAACCATTGTACTGAATGTTGGGTGCATATTTGCACTTCTTTTTAATTGAAAAACCGTTAGCTGCATTCATTGCATCAGCAGAAATTGCAACGCCTCAAACACAGCACACCGAATTCGTTGCAGGTTTCCCACACTGATTCTGAGTATGTGTCAGAGATGAGCTGCACACACACATTAAAACTTATATGACCAGCCAATTGCAGTTGCACTTAAAGCCGCACACAACGCAGATACGCTTATTTTGTATTGTTGGCCAATTTCAATTGCAATTCCTCAGCCAACTCACAACTGATTTCTGAGATTTGAATTTTCGTTTTCACTTTTTTTTTTTAAATTTTTTTTTTTATCCATCGCTGTATGCATTCACTGGCATACGCACATATGCATGTATGTACGAGTATGTGCGCGGATTTGTAAGGCTAATAAATATCTGCTTTTAGGCTTATATTGTACATACATTCGACTGGTATTAGCGGCTTTCGGTGGTTGCTTGGTGCACGACTTCTAGACTTGACTCGCGTGTGCATACGAGTACGTTGCTTTTGTTGTTGTCGCTGCAGCAGAGAAATGCAAGAATGCAAGGAAATGAAAATGAAAATCCTGAATTGCATACAATGTATTGAAATGCAAGCAAATCCGCTGCGAAAAGTTCATTATTCGTAATTCGGAAAGTTCGTACAGTGAGTGACCAATGAGTGGTGGTATGATGGCGCGCGATCGACAGTCGACTAGCTTAACTATGGTCAGGTGGGAATGGGGGGTGTTAAGGTCCTGGAAAGTCACAAATTGCAAAAGGGCAGTTTGTCTGAGTGGTCGAGTCTGTGTTGTGTAGAGTGGTTGCTTATCGGCGGCAGTATTGTCCATATTGCATTTGGCGTTGCACTTGTGGTTGTGGCTATGATTGCGTACGGTCTCTGCAAAATTGCTCAGGCTGTCGGGGTACACCCATCGTCGTTTCGTTCAAATTCTGATGTTGCATCATATTGCATTACAGACGGGCATTGTAAGCTGACTTGAGTTTGAGTTTTCAAGCACACACCTACATTTGTTCATAAACGAAATTGCAATATGCAATTGGGGTACTTAGTCTTTGCTTACTGGCGGCAATATATTCGTATGATGTTCTCATGTACGTGTGTACGCATGTGTGAACGCGTGTGTTTGCCATATACATTTGTTTAACTGTCGACGTTCTTGTTTGTTTAACGGTAACTTCATCCCACTTTCGCAAAAAAAAAAAATGCAATAGTAAGTATTATGCAGCTTTTTCCAAACTTTCTTTTACTTGCATTCACTAAGGCTTTGCAATCACGGCATCCAAATGTGGTAGCTCGATAATAACGGGCAGTCGTATAAGCGAACGCATGCATGTGTGATGACTCCTAAAACGTGGCTATGTAAAATGCATTTTCGGCATTGTTTATGCGCTTCTCCGGCTCTATGGCAATCGATGCATACACACAAATACCAATACATACATACATATGCATGGATATACGCGAATGTCGTAATTGCAAACACTATAAGTAAGGTAGGAGGAGCTGCATTAAAATCATGTATGACTGGCTGTGTTTTATGGTAAGAGTTTTGGTGATTTGAAAAACTCAAAACTCAGTCGGTAAGAGACTTCTCCTCGCCTGACGTCGATATCAGTATATAATTTGTGCATGCCAGTCATTACCTTATTTTACAGGAAGTGCATCTTGACGGTCGGCTGGACATTAAACTCGAAATTAATTTGACTATATTGGGTCTGAGGGAGAGGTCCTTGTGACGGAATCAAATAAAAATTATTTGCTCAATATATGTATGTGTTTATTATGAATAAAAAAATTGTACTCTCATTCAGAATAAAAGCATTAATTTCTGCATATTTTCTATAAATAGATGAATTCTGATATTATTCTTATAGCATGTTGAGGGAGATTCGCTAATAGGCAAGCAAATTTCCGCTTCATAATTTTTTAAACTTTTTTTTTATTATTTTATTTATTTTTTATTATTTTTTTTTTTTAATATATATGAGTACTAAGTCCAACGCTTAGCAGTGAATTTCCTTTTTCCATATTTTTTATAAGTATACCAAGGATTTTTTATGTATGAAGTCCTGTCAATTGAGTTTTGGTATTGTAAAATAAAGTTACCAGCAACAAAAACGCTCCAAGTTGGTTAATACTTTTGAATTTTTTCTAAAAAAAAAAACCAAGTAAATAAAAGATAAAATTAGAATAGAAACACTTTCTTCAAACTACTGTTGAAGGTGCAAATTTATTGATAACTTCATAGAGAAGAATCATCTTTGAGAAAATTGATGCAGCAGGGGGTGCATTGTAACATAAAATTTCAGAATCTCTATTAAAATAACACAAATTCTCACAATGTGACAGCGGGAATGAAAATTTCAGCTGCATAGAAATGCACAAAATATAATTAACAGTGGAACTTCTAACCGGGGATTTATTTCTATGATCTGACTGACACACATACACACATCGATAGCCTTAGCAACGCAAAACCCATACGCACATATATGCATACATGTGTCGTTCAATTGAGAAAATTGCAATCAATATTTTCGTGAAAATATGGAGAAATCAAATGGAAATCAATAAGAATAATCTTCTGCGGGAAACTATGCAGCTTACTTCACTCCACGATTGGCATTTGTGTCTATTCAAGGCAGCTGGTTTCCTTGGCAAACACAGAAAGACGAGAGGGGCTGATATATTTTAGTTCGATCTGACAACCCCTTGCATCTTGACACGCCGCAAGTAGATTAACAATAGCAATTGTCAATTGGAAAGTAAAAATAACAATGCATTAAATGTTAATAAAAATAATTTGCGTTTAGAAATTGAAATTTTTTGTTTTTTTTTTTTTTGCAAAGCCAAGAGAGCTGCTTCTCGAACAGCGGCAAAGTATAGTGCGAAGGAAAGAGTGAAAACACTTGAGAAATTTTGAAAATTTTGTTTGA